AGAAGCAGCAGCAGCAGCAGCAGCAGCAGCAATAATATCAGCACTTGCGTTTGTGGAGCTGGAGTTAGGGACTCCGCTGCAGCACGCAGAGGGCCAGAGTTCAATCCTTTTTGTCTGCTCAGGGCTCTATTTTAAAATTGAGTATCTTGGTTTTATGGCACTTGCAACGCAATTAGGTTATACAAGTGCCAAAAGAGTACATCTAAACAACCGGCTGACGATGAGTAACAACAACATTATCAACCATATCAAACAACCTACCGTTCACCTGACAAGGCAGGTGATACTGCTCAGTGATTGTGGTTCATATCTTATGCACGACCACCACTACCCATCAGCACCAGCACCATCACTGTTACCACAGAAAAACAACAACAACAACAGCAGCAACAGCAACAACATTAACAGCAGCAACAGCAACAACAACAACAAAACCAGAGCAAACAACAGTGACAAAAACGACAGCAGTAACAAAATCAACAGCTACGACAGCAGCATCACCACATCTCCAGCACGACCGTAACCAGCAGTATGAATTATCACCACCACCATCAGTAACTACAACAACAACAACAACAACAACAACAACAACAACAACAACAACAACAACAACAACAACAACAACAACAGCAGCAGCAACAACAACGTCAACAGCAGTGACAGCATTATCGCCATACCACAGACACGACCATAACCGGCAACATTATCACCACAACCATCAACAACAAGAACAACAACGGTAACTACAAAGACGACTATAACAACTATAACAGGAGCAACAACAGCATCAACAATAACAACCCCCCGGGGCGGTGCTACTGACTGAAGTGTTTTAGGCCATTCCCAAAGGGGGGGGGGGCATTAACATCTTGATTTCTTATGCACAGTAGTTTATTGTAATTGTAATGGGCTGATTCATCAATGTTATGCTCATAACTGTGCCTGAACTGCAACGGGGAACTGCTGCTTTTTCTTTCTTAATCCTTACTATCGTCATTTTTCCTCTACTTCTTTTGTATGTTTGTCACATTATTGTGACCCGCTTTTTCCGGGGTGCCTTGATAGTCGAAGCAGACTTTGTGTTGTTGAAGCTAGAGAGGTGAGCAGAGTAAGTCCCATTCCCTGTAAGGACTTATCTGTTGACATCCACCCCTTGGCGCTCATATGACCTTATGCAGTGACGAGCTCTGTAAAACCTCTACTAAAACGAAACAATAACAACAACAACAACAACAGCATCATCAGCTCTGCCACCACCATTCAACCCCAACTAACCTACAGATTACTTGTGAAGGAAGGTCACATTGGTCAGTGATGTGGTTGAACTGTAGGTTCGAACCGCAGTCATTAAGAGTCCCTCGCCCGTCGAGACATCGCCAGTACTTGGAGCAGTCGGAGCATGATCGATAAAGGCCTTCTGGTACATCCACCCCACACCCATTGACGCAAGCGTTAGTCAGGTCTCTCTCTGAGCTGTTGTGTAGGAAAATGGGCGCGATCAGATGGGTACACAGACAACGAACGAAGAAAACTGAAGCACCGCTACCTCAGAATAACAACGTTCAATCTGCTCAGTACATAGTCTTGAGAAATTTGACGTCAAAGATTTTGCGTTTCACATCATGTCAAACTTTGTAGATTGCAATTCATTGAATATCTTGATAACGACTCCGTTTATTCTTACGATTTGGATAGAGCAGATACAACAGACCTCATGGTCTAAGTAACTCAAAACAGCCAAAAATGTTAGATAGAACGTTGTAATTCTGAGGTAGCGACATATCAAGAACATCAACATAGCCTCTAAACTAAATAAAAATGAGAAACTGCCATCTTTTGGCCACGTAAAGATACTCAACACACTTAAAAAAGAAAGGCAGTATACCCTGCAACGGATATGGCCCGTGAAGAAGTACGTGGGTAAATCAAAGAAAGGGGAAACAAACCTTGGAGAGTAGACAGGTTTTATATGAATTTCAAAGCAAGGTATTTGAGTGTGGCACGCACTAACCAAAACAACATAACGTTGTATCAACATGATACAAACTATTAAAAAATAGCAATGTCTTGAGTTGATTAAATGAATACAAAATCTTCACTACAGTAGAAACAAAATTCACTTTTCATTATCATCAGTTTTTAGCAATTTAAAAAATAATATCGAGAACGATACGTACTACTTCTTCATATTTTGAGACAAGATCTTCTTCAAAAAGTAGTACACGTAGTCTTTCTCCGTAGGCTCCTTCGGGTTCTCGTTCTCGTATTGCCGGTAGAATGGGTTCGGATCTCGAGGCCACCAAAAAGATGCATACGGGTTCCATCCTGGATAAGCTTGTGGATAAGGAGGCATAGGCATACCCCTGTAAGGCATACCACGTCGAGGATAATAAGCCCCTTTCCAGTCCCATTCGTCATCTCTGTCTTTGTCTCCTCTACGGCGTCCACGAGGTTCTCGACCATCTCTCTCTTCCTGTCGGCCTTCCTCTGGGCCTTTCTCCCAGTCGTTTTCATCCCCACTATCATCGTCATTATCCTCCATCATATCTCTGACTTTCTTTTTCGTGAACCAGATGATGTCCAGATCGAGAGGACCGTCCCATTCAGCCCAGTTTGTCAATCCCTCGATGTCACACTTCTCGGACAAACGCTTGCCCAACAGTGATTTCAAAATTTCTCTTGCTCTTTGCCTCTCAGATCTTCCTCTTCCTTCTCCCTTTCCCCCTCTTCCGTCTCCTCCTCCTCTGTCTCCTTCTTCTCCTCCACTTCTTCCTCTTCCATTGTCTCCATCATCTTTCCCGTCGCCACCACCACCACCATCAGCTCCTCTTTCGCCCTCTCTTCCTCTTCCTTTTCCCCCTTCTCCATTTCCGTCAACCCCTTTCTCACCACCATCACGGCCATCACCATCTTTATCACCATCTCGACCATCGCCACCACCACCACCACTACGGCCATCACCTCGACCACCACCATCACCACCATCTTTACCTCCACCACCATCTTTACCACCACCGCGACCATCATCACGACCACCACCACCATCTTCTCGTCCCCTATCTCGACCATCTCCCCATCCCCGTCTCTCCTCCTCCTCATCGTCTACGAGCGACTGTTTGATCATCTCCCTCCACCCTTTTGCCAGACCATAAAACCCTAAAGCCTCCACTTTGTAGACTGGTATCATGACAAGCCTGTACTCCAGGCCTATCTCAGGCCCGGTCCGTGACGTCATCTCAGTTTTTGTTCCTGACGTCACCCCAGCAGACAAACAGCAGCTAAGGGAGAAGAAAGTTTTCACGTTAAATAACAATTCTCTGAATTAAAGATGTATTTAAAATAAACGACTAAATACGGAAATCAATAACCACAACAGAATTTTTAACAGATCACCCCCCCCCCCAAACTAAACAAAACGAAACAAAAAAAATATCCAAACACTTTTTGGTTATATACACAATGTGTTTTAAAAGTCTCTAATCATTATCTTTAAGGTAAACAGCTATTCCCAGTTTCCCTTGCCCTTGTTTTGCATCGTCGTCTTCGAAATTATAAGCAACAAAATACTCCTTTCCATTACTTGTAGCATACTTTGCAATTGTATCAAGACATCAGTATTGCATACGTGTCTATGTTTATAAAGAAAATAAAGCAAAAAGAAGTGTTTTAATAGAGATCAAATTGTCGTTTCACACTTCGACACCCACCGCCCAAAATATACACCTCTACCCCCCCCCCTTACCCCGTACCCCCGATCCTTTAGCATTTTATCCTTTATATTAAAAGAAAAGCAGAAGTTGACAAGTTAAACAACTGAATTGTGAAATCGGTAAGCAGTATAGGGGTATAACAACAAAGCTATAATAAACCTTAGTTTTAAAAAACAAGAAATTGTAAAAACAGCCAAATATGTGTGCTATATTTACCTTGACTTATTGTGTATCACATTGTTTTGATTGATTTCACTTCGCAACGGTCATATCATATTGATTTAAGTCATTTTCTACCAGATCTATAGTCATTGCTATGGCGACAAGGCTTGTCATTTGCTTCGTTTCTTCAAAATTACAGTACTTTGTTCCTTGGAAAATGAATATTAAATCATTAATTTTACTTGCACAGAAGCTGTGCGATTGACTCAGCAAACTATGACTGTTAAATTGTGTTCTAGTGGTCAGGCTACCGGACTCGTAATCGTGATGTTGCGGGTTCGGAGGTTTGAGCCGCGGGCCCGACGTTGTGTCCTTGGGAAAGGCACTTTACACGAATTTTCCTCACTTCACCCCGATCGGAATGGGTACCCAGCTATAGACAGTGAAAGATCCTGTCAGTTTGTTAGTGTTTGAGCGCTTAACCAGCTGCTTTCACTGTATGCTTCCCGGGAAGCTGAGAATGCTTCTGAGTGTTCTATGGCTTGCTGAGTAATAATATAACGTAAAGCACATAGAGCTTGCTTTCGAGTGGGGACATGCGCTATAAAAATACTTTTTATTATTTATTATGATAATAATAATAATAATAATAATAATATATAGCATTTGTATAGCGCATATCCCTCTTACCTTACAACGACAGACACCCACAGTAGGGCGCCGCCATCACCCGTGACCATCTTCCTGTTTATCTGACCAGTGTCCAGGCAGGCACTGACGTCACTGAGGTCCTGTGAGTTAATGTTAGCCTGTGGGTATATATGTCTGAACCATGTCATGTCTAGTTGATTGATACATTACTGTTGGAGGGTTCCTCTTGTAGGTCCTATTTCACACACATACACACACACACACACA